AGAGAGAGAGAGAGAGAGAGAGAGAGAGAGAGAGCGAGAGAGTGAGTGAGAGAGAGAGAGAGAGAGAGCGAGCGAGAGCGAGAGCGAGAGCGAGAGAGCAGGGAGGGCGGGAGAGGAGGAGAGAGGGGAGAGAGAGAAGGGCAGGAAGAGAGACAAAGAGGGGGGGAAAGAGCATTCGTGCAACAGGGAGAGAAGGCGAGAGAGCAGGAAGCAAACGCAGGGAGATGGAGCGCGAGAGCAAGAGAGATATGTCACTGATGTCATGGAAAGTCGGAAGCACAGCATTCAATAAAAGACCTCATAACCACCTCGCCTGCGAAACACACCGAGGTTCAAAGGCAACCCCTGGACCTGAAGCACAGCATGGAGCAGGAGATGGATCTAGCAAACTCGCGCTTTTGCATCTTGCGAATGCCCGAAATGATGAGATATTGTTCAACAACAACAACAACAGCAGCAACAACAACAACAGCAACAATTCGGATATTCATCCGCGGCTGTCTTCTGTTAATGCTTAGTGGCTTAGTCAACAGCTAGTACATCCAGAAGTATAAGTAGGGGTTGTATATATTCGCAGCCGCGATTCCTCCAAGAACTTGTCCATGTTCTCCACGTGATGGTAATGCATCGTGCCGTCGGGTGGCAAGGAGACACCCGATGGCATGCTCTCAACATCCATGGCTTCGAAGGAAGAGATATTGTGTCCCCACCGAAGCTCCGACTCTGATCCTGGCACAAGTTGGTCTCAGCAACTGCCTCTAATTATACATCCAGCCGATGATGAAGTTTCAAGTCTTCAAAAGCCAAAGTTGGAGCCTTCAGGTTCCCTCTGCGAACCGTGACTTCACCTCGAGACAGTTTCTGGGGGCGGAAACACATGCGCGTCGTGCACAGCTCTACACAGTGTCCCACGATTTTGGCAGGTCAGAGACACTGCATGTCACAACTCCGACAATTATACGATGGATTCGGTAAAGGTGGCCATGTCTACAGTGCGATGAGTCCCTGGTATGGTCTGCCGTGGAAAAGAAGCATCCCGAATGCCGAAACACTCCACAAAACAACACACGAGGCACGGAGCTCCGCTTTCAAGCCTTCTTCGTCACACCGCACTACGGGTGCACAGAAGTACCAGGAAGCACCAGGGTCCTGAGGGCGTTTCACATTGTCCGTCGGTCCAGGTCGGCGGCGGGTCGCCCTTCAAGTGCACCTGTTGAGCGATAAGGGCTAAAAAGTTTGTGAGAAGAGAGTTTCGGGCTCAATCCTACTTTGGTGAGGGACTGATATTCATTCGGATGCAGGGTGAAGTGCTTCCAGCGTCAGCACCTAGGCGCTGCTCCAACCCATATATCACCTGCGGAGCCTCTGGGACAAGCGTTTAAAGCGAATCCTGGTCAACAAATATCAATTGAATGTAAGAAACAGTGGCGCATGCACTATGCTTCCGAGCAATGTCAGCAGCAGAGCGACCACGACGACAAGAACAACATGGGCAATGGTATGCAAAGCTGATGGCCGATATGGTGTCAAGGGTGCTGCAAGTAAAGGTTCTAACTCAGGATTTTTTTGTTTAGGAAGCTCCCTGGTTGTGGTTGCTGCGTAGCATCTTGGGCCATGCCCTAAAGGCGCTCGCAGCATGAAATATAGCGCAACACGAGCGTAGCAATAGAGATGCCCACCCCAAGTCTGTAGGATGAAGGGTCCGAGGGAGAAGGTGAGAGTGCGGCATTCACTGGCTCAGAGTTGATATGCGAGGGATGTTGACTATGACAAGAGTTGCAACAGCGAGGAGGGAGAATCGAGCCAAGGTAGTGCAAGAGCTGGCCGTGACAGAATGCAGGAATCGAAGAAGCCCAAAGACGGAGCGAGTGAAAGGCACGAAGCTACAGGGAGGTTCACTCTGTGAGCGTTTGGGTTAGTTGGTCGTTCCTTCGGGAACCCGTGCCCAGCACACGATGACCTGAGTTCTAAACCATTTCACCCACCTCTGGCCGGATGGGTACTGGCAGCTTCCCGAGGTTGGACTTGGATGTCGGGCAAAGGCTGCTCAAGGTATGACCCGCACCTTGGCTCGGGCTGGGGTCTCTCTCTCTCTCTCTCTCGCTATCCGTAAGCGTGCATGAAATTTTCGATCCAATCAAAAGTCTTCAGGTCTCTGTCTCCATTGAAGATGCCTCCTTGAGGAAAGATGAGATGCAACGGGCAGACAAGCCCTAAACTCTAAACCCACCTCATTTCTTCTGCCCTGCCTCTGCCTCTCTGACATCCGATAGAGCTCATCTCCCTGCTTCGGTGTTCCTTGCTGTTCCTACTGTAGTGGCCTAAATAGTTATCAACATATATATATATACATATAT